ATATACATATATATATATGTATATATATATATATATATATATATATATATATATATATATATATATATACACATGTATATATTTATAAACATATTTATACACACATGTATATAATTATAAATATATATAATATTATAATATATATATATATATATATATATATATATATATATATATATATATATATATATATATATATATATGTGTGTGTGTGTGTGTGTGTGTGTGTGTGTGTGTGTGTGTTTGTGTGTGAATACATGTGTACACGTAGGTAATATATAAGTACAAGTTTTCTTCTTAATTTTGCAATGGTTATGAAGCACATTGCATATGTGAGTTTTGCATTTGTATTTCCATCTATTTACTCGTGTGTCACCGACCTTATCATCTTTCCGGGAATCACTAAAAAAGGGCATTTTATCTACAACAACCCCTCGTTCAGCCGTTTGGTCGTTTTCGTTAAGTCGGCAAAGGATCCCCAAGTACAGCGGGTTCTCATTGGTCCGTCACGCCAGAAACCCTGCTTTTCCTTCATTCTGATTGGCTACTCGTCGACAAGGGCCAGAACATGCGTAGGTGAGGCCGAATGCGTAAGGGAAGTCGACCCTCAGATTCTGTACGGCGGTCGGAAACTCTACCTCGAGGAAATGGCGAGCAGGTAAGGCTTCGTGTGTGTATTGGAAAGTGTGTACGTTATTGCACGGGTGTGTGTATAGGCAAGATATAATCAACCGCAATGGGAGAATACTTACGGTTTAATGAAGTGGCTAGATGTACTTTTATATTCGCTGCCGACGTTGCGAATAGCGTTACTGTTTTACCCGGGTCGTGTTCGTTCCTCGTCTCAATAATAGTATGTTGCTAGCAAGACGAGAATCCATCACTTTAATCGATGGGTGTAATTTGAGTGAATATAAGAGATAAGCTTTAAACTCTGCCTTTTTAGAATCCTCCAATTCAAGTTTCAGAAATTCCATGCGTATCTGAAATCCCCAACCCCGTGCCTTCGAGAGCAATAGTCACCACGACATATTTCTTCTGCAGAATCTCCTTGGCGTTGGCGCTGCTGGTGGTCGCGCTGGCGGTCGTGGCCTCCGGCAGGATTCTCGACGGAGTGGACGACCTTAATGGCTTAGAGGGCGACGACCTGCTGCTGACGGACACGGTGTTCACGGACGAAGACGCCGACGAGAGCGGCATGCCCTCGGACGTCCCAGCCACCGACAGGGGTTTGAGTGCGTCGTTTGGGAATATCGTGTACAGGTGAGGCGCGGTGCTAAGGTTGGGAGACTAGGGAGACTAGGGAGACTAAGGGGACAATATGTAGTATAAGGTAGTGGCAGTTGGGTAATAAAATCTACATGAACTGATAGAGCAATACAAACCAAGATAGTTCTTCTATGGCAATGTGTGTGCAAGTGCTTCCCAAGGGTGCTATACGTAAAAGAAGAGAAGATCCCTCAACTTTGGCTAATTCGCTCATCTTGTTTACATTGCGAGGGTAAATTCTAGACGCATATACTACTACAGTGGGTCCAGGGGGCGTAGACCCCTGGCTAGGCATATATATTGCCATTGGGGTCCAGGGGAGAGAGCCCCCTGGCTAGGAAATATATACCACGGTGTTAAGTTAGGTTGGGTGCTGAGTTAGGACGTTTTGTTTAACAACTACGGGAGTCCTGTTTTACCCCATAATTTCCGATATACTCCATGCCCTCCCCTGCTATCGGTACTATCAAATCAAGATTGTCGAGAGATGATCATATCTTCCCCAACGATTCATTTGCACAAGTAACAATACCTAGAATCGTTGAAAGCAGTGGATTTCATGCAGAAAAATAAAAATTGTTTCGAAAGTAACCTACTACCCTCTTCATATTGACCGGGGGGGGGGGATTATCTTTTTTACGTATAGCACCCTTGGGAAGCATTTGCACACATATTGCCATTGAACAACTGTCTTGGTCGTATTGTTTTATCATTTCATGTAGGTTTTATTACCCAACTCTGCCACTACCTTATACTACATATTGACAGACTAGGGAGACTAGGGCAACTAGGGTTTTTCTTCATTCGGTTTGCTTCAATTTTCATGAAGGAAATGCTAAGGTCTTCGCTCGTTTCGTGTTTAAGTATCGTAAGCTGGAATGGCTCACTATCTTGACGCAACGAATTTTGTCATGGCATTCGCAGTCGGCGAATAAAAACGCAGTATGACCAGTGCATGATTTGGGTAAGTTGCATTTACGAGTGTTGCAGAGTCGCGTGTTTATGGGACATGAGGATTTATAGATGGATTCTATTTAATGTACGCTATTCAGGTGCAGTTTTAGCCCGGGGAAATCTAGTAAGTATTAGCGTTAATTAGAGTGACGGAATCTATTCTTTTGCAAAGGTCAACAAACCAACCCCACCTCTTGTAATTATCGTAGGCCTAGAGTGTTATATTCCGATTACACTGTATCTAATGTTCAGTTCGCATCAGATCTGCAATTGCAAG